TATTAAATATTATATATATATATATATACATATATATAAATAACACATAACTCAATAAGTTTTTCCATTGTTTTGAAAAATGCAAAAGTAGCGTCACTTAAACCACTGTAACTTGTAAAGTAAAGATCCGATTGAGCTAAAATTTTGACACGTATATGTCTGAAGGTTTAGTACTTTCTAAAAATCGTATGGATTTGTTATTAGTACGCCATCTATTATGTCAGACCCGGGACTTATTGAGTGATGTGTTATTGGTCCAAAAAAATACGTTAGGTCAGCAAAGTCTAATGAAGCACTAATAATTATAATTCTATCACAATTATGTAGACTCACCAACGATCTTAGCATTGTACTCGATGCTGGAGGGATGATCGATTACAATCGTAAGCGGCTCCTTTATATGCGTCCTCCAACTTGACTCTCTAAAACATACAATCCCGAGCTCTTAGCGATAAGTTTTTATAACGATATATATATATAATGTATAATTTACGCGCGCGATACACACACGCACGTGTCATTGTATAGCACGTATTGTTTTCTGTACATAATCGTGCACGATGTAAACGGCACGCCCGGTCGTAGAAATCGGAGAAACACCGGCTGTCTTTTGTCTCGCAAAAGTCCACTTTCAACAAAAGTCAAATATCTCGCCAACCTCGAGAATCGCAAACGCGCGCGATCGATATGTATCGATAATTGCAACAGAGGGCGCGACCGCCGCCGATTTCAAACTCCGGTCACCTCCACCCCGGGAAGTTCTCGTAATTTGTAATACGAGTCGTGTAAGCGATGCGACGCGAAATATCGCGGAATAATTATATTAATAGATGAAACACTATGCGAATTAACACGGGAAAAAAAAAACTGTTATTGTTATAACGATGAAATAAAAAATCGTGTGGCGAGCAAAACTGCAGTGTGAGGTCGATTTTTTCATCCTCGATCCGAAAACGAAAATACAATTAAATAGATTTAATACCGTTTATTTAATATCGTTATTTGTTGTGCTTTTTTAAATAGTTTTTAGTTCAAGATCGTTTTACCATTTTTATTATCTTTCTCTCATCAATTGAATATTCCATTATTTTATCACAAATTTAAATAAAGATATCACGACTGATTGTGAGTCAAAGTTTTTCTTAAAAGTTTAATGTTCTTTTTCAAAGTAAAGATAACTAAGCGCTGAGGCAAAAGTAAATAATGAATAAATTTGTAGAAACTGACGACTTAAATCTTGGTAGTTTTAAAACCAGTTTTAGAACCTGTTTTAGAACCAGCTACTTTTATATATCCATTTTTTGCATTCAGATGCAATTCTATTCTATATTGATTTCGTTTTAAGTGTAAAAATTTTCGGGAAGTGTGTCGAGCAAACAGGACCTGTTGATGAACACGTAGCACGAAAAAGGTCATTTTTGAGGTCGTGAGGCAAATCGGGGGGCAGTCTGTCAACCTGCGATCATCTGATGGTCCGATCATTGCCTTGCCTGACCATAAAAATGGCGCACATATTGAGGTCCAAGTTCGTGCACTTGTCATTGAAGTACGCTAATCCCGTCACGTTTCGCGTCCCTGTGCCCTTAAAGTATCAACGATTATGTTTTCACACCAGCACTATCCTCGACGGTATGACATTTATTCAAAAATCATGACTTTTTTTCTCGCAAAGTTAGTCGATTTTGAGGTTACCTCTCAAAAAGTGAACCAAAAGTTTATGAAAATATCTGCGAGAGATAAAATCATTTCGTTCATGATAGGAACGTTAAACGAAAAAGTCGAAAACGAATGCCTGATATTTATAAATTAATTCTTTCGCTGCGCTCGATAAACAAATTTCCGCCTCCTTCTGATTATGCAATCAATTTTTTAATTTTCATCTTGTATTCAATATGCTTGCAATTTTTTTCAGTATAATTTGTTTCTCCAACGTTTTTCTTATTTAATCGTTACTTTGCAGAAAAAATATTTTACCTAACTGCATAGCTACATTTGTTACAAATTTATATTTTAATAACGAAGGTTTTAATTCATGAAAATGAAAATAGAGACATTTGTTTTTCAGTAATGGGAAAAGAATTGTCGATGCCATCTTTATCACCCACTATGGAAAGCGGCACCATAGTAAAATGGTTAAAAATGGAAGGTGACAAGATTGAGCCTGGCGACGCTATTGCAGAAATTCAGACTGACAAAGCTATTGTCACAATGGAATTTGACGACGAAGGTGTAATGGCGAAGATAATCGTATGTAGTATAGCAATGAATCAATAAGATCCTGTATATCACATCCAAATTATGCGACATATGTTGATTATCAGGTACCTGAAGGAACAAAAGATATTAAAGTAGGAACTCTGATAGCTCTCACTGTGGAGGCTGATGAAGATTGGAAAACAGTAGAAATACCAGTTGCGCGTGGCCTAGCAGAAGCTTCTTCATCAGCACCATCCTCTACTGAGGCAAACCAACCTGTTACGAAAACAGAACCACCACCTGGCCAGTATGATCTTTTAATAAATATACTATGCTCTTTAAACTACTTAATGCTTAAATAATGCTCACATATTTATACGTTTAATTCCTTCAATAAGCATGCTATGTTTAAAATAATGTAGAATATATGTAATGCTTATACATTAACACATTTAGAAGTTTACAATTAACATTTTTGGAAAACGTTTCTAAATATTTTATTCTCTCATTTTTTCAGACATAATATTGCTATGCCTGCGTTGTCGCCAACTATGACAACAGGTACAATCGTAAAGTGGCTGAAGCAGGAAGGTGATGAAATACAGCCGGGTGATGCGTTAGCAGACATACAGACAGATAAAGCCGTTATGACTTTTGAATTGGAGGAAGAAGGAGTACTCGCAAAAATTCTTGTACATATTTAATTATTGATGATAAGAAATTCGGCATTACAGTTTTTTCTTAGACTAATTAATATTATTTATTAGAGCCCAGAAGGATCTGAAGTCAAAGTTGGACAGTTGATAGCTGTTATGGTTGAAAAGGGAATGGACTGGAAACAAGCTGTTGTGCCGACATCGATTGAATCAGCAACACCTGCAACACCAAGTCCCGCTAAATCGACCGCACCAGCTGATGCAAGGCCATCGTCAAATGGACAGTACGTATTAATTTTTTAAATAATTTATATAGTTTTGCAATAATTTTATTTATGTATTATTTCCAAATTTAACATAACATACCCTTTGCAAGTAAATAATTATATTGTAATTAGTATATTTTTTGTACAGAGTGTATGGTTTAGCAGTAAAGAGATTATTGGAAGAATACGGTCT